TTCTATTTGATTGTTCCTTTGGGAATGATCATTTGATGAGCAGCGTCATTAGAACTCCAAAATAATCGAACGGCACGTCGATGGCATAATTTCCCTTTTTTCGAAGTCTCACGACAAGATCAAATCATCAGATTCAACACTTCGAAATACATCTTTTGTCATCTATCAAATCCGTCATGATCCCCAAAACAAGCGAGTACAAGGCACATCAAGTCAAACATGCAACTCTTCAATTTATTGCTTTGTATTGGCAAGCCCACTGTTTTCCTGAGATATTTTGTTGCGATGGATTTTATTATTTTCTCTTCTTCATCGTTGCTTTTCATTGAATGATATTCGGACTATTGTGTGGTAGAGGGGACGATGTGGTAATGAGGGGTGATTGGCACTCAAAGTATCAATCTGGAGGGATGTTGCATTTCTTTGACAACTTAACTTCGGGACCAATTTTGCAACCATCGAGATGAAATACTTGTTTGAAGATCACGGGGTGACCACACATGGTATGGGAATAGCAGCTTCTGGGGAGGTCTCTTTATTTGTTGATTGACGTTTCATCTTACAAAACTTAGTTGTGTTTCATGATGAATGGATGGGGTAGCTGATGTTCAGAGCAAGACAAGGAGAAGTGGACTGACATGAAGTTCAGAGATTGTTTAAAGCTCGCATACAAAGTTGCTGGTCGAAGATTATCAAAGTGCCTATACATACACGCGCCTATACGTTGTGGAGGAACCGAACCTTGGTTGGGTACTTTTCACACTTTGATAGATACGTATCTTGCTATAGGTTATTAGAATAGTTGAATGAAACATGAAACCAACTAAATACAAGTCTACAGTCTACAGAGTGTATTGATATGTGATCATGACATGGTTGATCTCGGGTGTGAGATAAGGTTTTAGTTAAGGTTTTATGTGTGAGAGTATGATGTCAGGGAGTGATGTTCTAGTTAGCGGCTTGAATTTGAGTTTGGTGCCAAGATGTGTAGTGTATAGGTAGGTAGGTAGGTACATGCGTCGATCCATCAATCTTGGAGCAACTTTCGAATTGAGAGATGTGGATATACATATTATCTAGGAAGCATGGTTGGATGAGGAGGGAGGGGAGAAAGAGGGAGAGGGAGATGGGCAGATAAGTAGGTAGGTAGGTAGGTAGGTAGATATACTTATTGGTCTTGATACTCTTTGAGTGGTTAGGTGGTTAGGTGGGTAGGTGAGTAGAAGGAGGGAGGGAGGTCAGTGGATATATGTGTGTATTTCTTTTTGGATAGATGAGTTTTTCTCTTTTGTCTTTATCTTTTTTTTTGGGAGGTGGGGGGTTTGAGATTGGAGACTGGGATTGGAGTGTGAGGAGTTTCGAATCTAAATAACATTGGATTGTTCGTGTGTGGTGCAGGGTATAGATGTGCTTGGGATGTATATTGTGTGAGGAGTCTACACTCCAGATACCACTGATTTACTATAAAATAGTGCGTTGCTGTGCTTGGTGTATATGTGTATGGGTGAGATGATGAGATGAGATGGGTTTGGAAAGTCGATACATGTTTTTCATAGTTGTTAGATTATTTATTTCGAATAATAATTTGCTTTTGCGAAAGTTGGGATATGATCTAGGTTGATTTGATATTGGAATAGAGACAGAGTTGACGAGATGATATGGGAGGAGAGAAGTATGGAATATTGAACGGTGTTAGATCCTGTCCTGTATTATTGGAAGATATCTAATCTCTGTTATGAGACATCATCATGGGTGATGGCATATATACTCTCCAGGGATCAAAAATAGCAATACATAAATAGACGTGAAAGATTATTCTTCTGGCGAAGGAAAGAATGAGCTATACACTGAGAGAGATGAGAGGGCGGGGGAGGTAGCACCCTACCTAGCTTTGCAAACAATCTACGAAACGAAGAGAAGAGAAGAGAAGATCCTCGTCTGAAAGTTGTAGTATCGTATCTTATCCCAATCATATTTCTATACTAACGTGTTTTCCTCTTGGATTCTCGTTCTGATCTGGATAAGAGATTTACGAGCATCTTTTTATAGCCAATCATCGCTCGCAACGAAATGGATGATGAGAGAATTGTGTTCTTCTGTCTTAATCGAGGATGTGGTAGATGTGCAAGAGATCTAGGGGGTTTGATGCATCTCGTCGTTTCTCTATAGACAGGCTTATATAATAGTGTGAAAAAAAAAGTGATAGATTTTACACGCTTGAGAAGTATTCCAAGGAAACTTTATTCAAGTCACGATCCAAGATACGAAATACATTATAAGGTTATATATTATAATCTCGAGGTCAGATATAAGTATTAGCACCATATTCTTCGTCGAGCTCGAACGACCCGTGGGGATTGGGGAAGCTTGAGGAAGTCTCGATTGATGTCTGAGTTTATGATGTGTGAGATGTGAGATGTGAGATATAGATTCGTCTTTTGTTGTTGTGCGTCAAATTCGGATTTGATACTAAGCTGCGTTCTACAGAGGATGATCAGTTTGTAGTGATGTGCTAGGTTGGAATTCAAACACGCTTGAGATTTCTCTTATAGTTTTAGAGATAACATCTCGAAGCTGTGCAGAAGAATAGCATCGTTGAGGAAGGGTTTGAGAAGTCATTCTTTTCGATCTCGGTAGGGTATGGAAGTAGTATATTTCCGCATGGAAGATTCATGCACGTAGTTGTACTGAAAGAGCTTCCATGGGCGTGCGTCTTTTTCTCTCATGGCTGTTAGATTTGAACCAATTTTCGCTTCGATCATACAGCTGTTTATAATACTTTCATATATATCGATTTACCAAAAGCGGAATCAAGTATATTAATATTGTTCCTTGAAAATCAAACGAACTAATGGTATTATCTTGACAAGAGGAAATCACTTGCGTTTCCTACTTCCACACAAGTCTCTCAATCAAATTTGCGGCGTCAAGAGCTGCCAGGATAAGAACTATCGTATCTGATTTCCCTTGAGGCCGATTGAAGACTAATCCGGCGGACCGTGGAGGTTAGTTTAGAAAGTACCATTTGTAAGATGTTCGACTTTTTGCTTATGGGTGCTGTAGAAGGCAGACATCAAGTCGCAAAAAGCAGGCAAATCAGCAATGATATCGTCATCAGATGTAACTCAAGAGTATGATATATACTCGTAGATAAGTTACTTTGTTGCTCGAATGAACTGTGATTCTGTAGGTTTCTGGGATGTCAGAAGAAGTCAGTATGTTAGGGAAAAGACTTTGAAGCATTTTTCGGCATTCAAAAGATAGAGATGAAGTTTGCTATCTCTTGGACAATATATATATTTTTTTCGTACATTATTGCCATGTTGCCTGAGAATGCTCTTTCCGAGGAAAAATTCTGGGGTTTGAGAGAAGAGTTATTTCTGAGATTTCCCACTTTCGGACTCACAAATAATGATGTGTGTTATATCAATTGAGGCATGCCCAAGACATTGAAACTAGACATTAAGCTGTGTAGATTCATCAGAGAAATATACATGTTATACAAGTGGTTAACATGTCTTTTTATTTACAAGTCTTCCTCGGCGTCCATGCCCGTCCAATTCTCGGAAGTAGATGGAAATTTCTAATTGAATGGCTAAGCAGATGTCTTTTGAGAACTCACACGCAAACTGGGCCTTTGTATCTCTCCAAAAACATCTTAGATGGGTATCGTACAGCTTGGATATTGGGAGACATCAACGCAAGATGATATGGCACGTAGTTGAGTGTATAATCTGTGACCAGTATCAAGTGGTACCCTATGATTCGAGCCCGTTCTGGATATATCTCCTCAGCCACGGAAAGATCTTCTCGCCAAAGTAAAGTTTGTCATTTCTCTGTGGCTTGAATTCTTCCCGAGTTAGATCATCAACTTTCAGTACAAACGGTCACTGTCGACTGATCGAAGCTTTTACTTATTTTTGCACCTACCTCGCCAGCCGTGATAATTCGTCTCGTCCCAGCTTAAAGTATCGTCTTTCCCGTCCAGGCAGAATGCTATATTGTCGCCCGTTCGAGATATTAGATTTGGATCACTTCAGATTTTTGATACAGGAATTTACAATTACATAGTTACGTGTGAGATGACGTTGATACTCAAAGTCAAATGCTGAATAATCAATATCCAGCAAATTATTCGAGATTGGTGTACCATCTCTGCAGACTCCAAGCCCAAATCTTCCCTGGCGAATCCCGAAAAGAGCGCGGGAGATACTCTCTCCATGAATAAGTGCTCGGTCTAATTACATTGCATACGCGAGGATGGTGCAATCATCTCAGTTCGAGTCATCTGCTTGATTTGTCTTGATTCGAATGCATCACATTAATAGAATAGGACCGTAGACGAAGAGTACATCTGCGGTTGAGACGCCTGCGTTTCACGTTGCACCACAATGCCTCCCCGCACCCGGCATATGCGCAGCTCAACGTATTATCACGTGAACTACATCACGGGGAGTGCAGCTTCACCAGACCTTGAGAAACCCTATTTTTCAGTTCCAACGTAGCTTTAATTGGTCATTTATCGATCCTTACATCATGCAGTCTGTCAAAGTTTAAATCAAATTGCACAATTAATCTTTTCGGGCCATCTTCCCCATATCCACGAACCGAGTAATGGTATTTAGAATTCAACATCAATTACCGACACGTGTCACAAATGATCGAGATGACAGCCCATAGGTTTCCCCTAATCCAGAAAGTATAATCGGTGAGTCAAAACGGCATCGCTGCTCCATGTACATGGCGTAATTTCTCATGCGTCTAGCCGTCTTGGCAGCATTAATAAGGATGCGTTATACCCCTTTTAGCCCGTTTGTCGTACTTTTTGACATTAGATACTGGGGATTGTTGTTTTCCTGCAGATGAAGGAAAACGACTGAGAACACGGGTTCGATAAGTCAAAGCTCTAGTGTTTGTTTTTATTCACTCGTGCTATCCTTTCATCTAATGCCGCGAGAGAAGAGACTGTTTCTCGGGTCACGAACAATTTCTATCTCGATATGATCATTGACTATCTACCTCTGTTGCAAACCTTACTTCCAGCAAACACAAGTGCTGTCTTGAATAGCGGAATGAAACGAATGAACTCAAACGGTAATTCGAGAGAAGCGAAGCGTGGAAGAAAGTGCACAAGAAAAGAACAGCTGCAGAGGCACTTGAAGTTCGGCGAGGGGCCAAGAAATTTCAAGAAGAGGATGAAGAGAAGGCCTGCAGTAGTTCATAGCAATTTGAGGATCGTTACCCTTTGGAATGGTGTGACAGAAGAGGCCATAGAATCTCGTCCAGGTATAGGTCAAACGTACGCAAGGCTCTATGGTCTCACATGAGAAAAAAAGCTGATGATGTTGTACTCGCAGACTCGATGGAAAGGCGGAAGAAAAGGGGAAAGCCATTGCACGAGTCGAGGTAAAAGATGTTTCAGACCCGCCCAGCAAAGATCCGGAACCTCCTCATATGTCCAATGAACATCCTTGGGAATGCGTCGAAGTTGTCATGGATAATGGTATGTAGCTCATCCCTCTGCTCTCATCTCACCACGGAAACTCGCACACTAAAAACTAGCTCGCAGACTCAGAAGCGCCTCCTCCAATCTCCATGTCTGAAGAATTAAATGTAAGAAAAAGGATCCTGACTGAGACGATAAAGCTAGAAGAATGCGATGTCGAAAAAATAACAATGTTCCACCAGCTATTGTGCAATGCTTATAACGATGTCATCAGTTATACCAATTGCCTTTGGAAATGCCTCGAAGGGCAATCGGACACACTTAATTGGATTGAGATATGTTGGGAAGACCTCGTCTCAACCAAAGATCTTTTTGAAGACGTCGATAAAAATCCAAAGACTCTACTTTCGCCGCTGGTAATCATGAGGAGATTTCACCAATCTTTTATAAACCTTGGAGATATCTGGGAAGCGATATTAGACCAGAATCGGGGGAATCTAGAGATTCCATTGCAAAGGGTCATGGAGATGAGCAAGGTCCAATCTATCATGAAGTTAGCTGAGCCTCAATGTGATAATAGTGATTTCGATATATTTGGTTGCCGTTATCCTGACGGGAAGCTCCAACCGGCGGCGAATCTGCCAACTAAAACTCGTCATACAATCGAGAGGATTCAAATATTTGAGGCAGAACCGCTAGATGAGAAGAGCAGGATGATGGAAGAACGTGCATGTATGTGGATCAAGGAGCTTACGGGATGCCCGTGTGGGACGTGGTGTGCAGGACCTTCACGAAGTGCATGATTGGAAAACGACGGAACAGTGTGCGTGAAGAATTTGGTATGAGATTATGGCTGGAGGAGACGGGCCTCCATTATAAATGATACCCCCGATAATACATTGTATATGACCGGCTTCTCATCACTACGTGACCCACACCTTTGCATCTTCGATTCGTACCTCTTGAATCACTTCGTCAGAAAACTATTGCGCGATAGAAATCTCATCAATGATAAGATTGACGTCATGGTACTGTACGCCGACCTGAAGTGGCTCCAATTTATTGCTCTGCATGTTTCTGAACTCCTCGCCAGTTTCATAATCTCAAGTGGCAGAAGACAAAACCAAAACTCATCAATACACCGAGTTCGCTTGCTCTTCAAAACCGCTAAGTGGTTGGGAACACGAGAGCAAAAGAGCAAAAACATAGACAAATGAATTCTTTTTCTGGAGCAAAACTCCCCAGACCCGAAGTTCTGATCTACGCCTAATTGCTGCACCCGAAGATGCCGACTGTATTCTGAGGCCGCTGCCACGGGAGTGGAAGGACGCAGATGCACCTTTTGGAACCACCACACCAAGGAAATCGCCAGGCTTTCTGTTGCCATTGTTTATAGGTCTATAATGTGAGTTACTAAGAGATGAAGGGTCGCTGTTAGGGAATGATTATCCCCCAGGTTATTTGCGGTAACAGCAACACCTGCTTAGAGTATCTATTGACACTGGAGATATGCAGTCATTGGGGGTCCGAAACTATGACTTTACCTGATATTGTTTAACAGTGGTGCTTCATTTTGATAAATAGAGTGAGAAGACTTTTGATGTGGAAAATAGCTCTAGCTTTTGCAAGGCTTCGGAAGATATCAAGCGGAGTTTTGTTTTGCAGAACCAAGCGCTAACTACTCCCTCAGCTCAACTCCCTGGTTTGAGACATAACCCATGCTAGCTCGCTATATGAGAACCACTATTAGTATATTTCTCCCAAACTACGGCAGTTTTACGAGAAGTGGTCGAATTCACTTCTCTGGACAGTGTTGTCTTGATATCAAAACTCGCCGTCAAGATAAATGCAATGAGCATGGCGAGACACTGACCTGCCTCATGTTGGCTTGTAATGCTGATAACTACCTCCGAACAGACACAAACGCACATAGCAAAAATTCACCTAGGACCTTTTGTATAGAACAAACTGCAAGAGAAAGCAGAAAGCAGAAAACAACATTTCATTGTGATGTGAAGTAAAGGCACAAATAAACAGAAATCTTGTATCAGCATCTGCATCTGCAAGCGCACAGTAACAACTATACACTAGTTCATCTCCATTTCTTCATCATCGTTTCCTGCCAAGTCTGCGCCGCTATTTCCTCCATTCAAAGTGGATGTATGTCCCCCAGCACACAAACACATTTTTTCCATCTCAGCAGAGAGTTGCGATTCGTCACCAGCTATTTTTGAATTTTGACAGCGCTCACAATTCGACCGAGTTCTCCTTGATACAGGTTCGAATTCCACCATTACGACTATCCTCTTCTTTACTGGAACATAAAAACTATCAGTAATTACACATAACAACATTTTCAGGAAGATCAACAATAGTACGCACATGGAGGAAGAGAAACTGAAGCCCTCCACTCGGCACTCTTGATCTGTTCTGCAGAGAGATGTGCAAAGTGTTTATTCATTGTTGAATTTGGAAAGAGACGAGCAGTCTTGAACAGATACTCGGCGGCTGCGATGATACTCTTCTTTTTCATTCGGTGCAGCTGCAATGAAACCTCTGGTTTGCTAATCAACTGTTCGAAAAATTCCCGCCTTCTTTCGACAAATTTCTTTTTAGTGCCGTGAAAAGACATTCTTGTTGCCTTCGACGCTTGCGCAAAGCCTTCTCTAAATGCCAGGAATACCGCGAGACGTTCTAGGTGGATACGAGGGTCATTGTGTAAGATGGGAAGCTGAGATTGGATACCATCGTCCATGGCAGTGTCGGTCGGAGTAGGATCATGAGATTCAGTAATTTCTGTCATGATTTTTGCGATGAACAGACTGAGATCTAGAGAGGGCGTTGAGGATAAATAAAATAAAGAATGGCAAGAAGCCGCACCGAAATAAGATCCTTTAACCAAGCTTTGACCCCATCGATGCAGTGAATACCTATCAATGGTACATATCACAAGTTCACTGGATCGAAAGCTTTATAGATATTCACTCAAGGGAGGGAGGGACATGAGGGCAAAATCTTAGAAAATTGGCAATGCGTAGTGTTGATCCGCCAAACTGCGTCGTTTTGCCTGGCCTATCGATAGCGGAATAGGAAATGAAATCTGGAATGATTCGTCGAGGGTCTTTGAGCGAAGATATACTTTCCACGCTAGTTTATTACACTTATTACTCAACCATAATTGCCTTAGTTTAGAAGAGAACAACCGAATCAAAGTTGCAGGAGTATAGTAGAATTGATTTGAGCTTCTGTTTTTCGTCCAGGGAAAGATAGGCCAAGCCGAGAAAATCAGCATCGATTAGATGACTTCACTATATCGTCAACTTGGCGGGAAGAGATGAAATTTATATAGCAATTTCGACGAGGTAGAGAATCCTTCTCGAAAGTCACAAGTAGCGACATGCTGAAATATGTGTATTGTCCTTGAATATGTTCAAAGTCCAGTGTTCAAACAAGCCTTTTTGCGGAAGCATCGATGTCGCTTCCCTTAATGTTAGCTTGAAGTAAACGTGATAATCAGGAGTGAGATGCCTTTCCAGTTTGCATAGGGTCGTTGAAACTATCCCGTGTTTAAGAGTTCACAATCTGAATATATCACTTCAACACATGTAAAGCAAAAGAATCCGGAAAATGGTCAGGCAAGTCAGAAAAAGGGTTATCTGGACAGACGCGCTTGCGAACTATTTATAACCACAAAGTCAATGGGTAGTCATACACTATTCACGGAATGGGCATTGAAAAGGGAATGTGGAATCATCGTTGATTGGTATAGCACAAGCTCCATGTCCATTGAGAATATGTCGAGGCCCTCAAGAGACAATCCAAGTTCTCGCAACCCCAGGTCGTTCTATCATCGTGAATATTCGAAGAATCGTCATTTCCTGCCGTTCATATCCACCAATGGAGGTATTTAGGTTCGCGATCAATCATATCACAAACGACTCGTACACACGAAAATAAATCAAATTTTATGAGGGAATCGTTTTTGATTTGATGCAAGATATCCGGATTTTCCCAAACGCCCCTCTGCTGCTTGTTGCATCGATCTTTCGCAAGGAATTTTGGGTGAGGTCCATCTTCTATCCATCAAGCTGCGTATCGAAAACTAGAACCATGTCTAAACCCTCATGTAGCCATTGCCATTAACCGAACAGACGAAGCCAAAAGAAAAGTAGCAAGAATATATCTGATCTACTTTCTTCTGAATGAGCAGCCCTCAGTCAAACGAGCCTTACCACCTGTTGGTTGGCAGAGGACGGTTGAACATCCAGCGCAGATGACAACGGTTTGGGCGTGGCTGAAGACGGTGGTGATGGTGAAGCATCCTGGGCACTTAACATCCATGAAGAAGGATCTTGGGGCTGGGACAAGTTGCTAGAGTGGCAAAAAATATTAGTTTCTGCCAATTTGGTACCGAGTCGAAATTTGGTGAGCGGTGTTGTCGCATACCTTGAGCTTGTGCTTGCGTGCCTCAGCAGCTGGGGATGGGTTGAGGAGATCGATTGCGAGAACCTAGGTGGCAAACTCTGATTAGCCATTGACCTCATCAAATATCAACCATCAAATTCCATCATCAATGCATCCATTCCGGCAATTCGATCCAACCCAAAAGCGAACAAATAATATTTTCCAATCCCTTTCAAGCTTTTTCTCCTCCTCGTGATTGTCGTGTGAATGTCGTGTGCCATTGTACAATTCCACCTCATGTCTTCAAACCATACTCGATGCGTTGATGTGGGGATAATTGATTGAGTGATTCCTTACCATCTTGACGTTTTTTGATCGAAATTATTATTCGGATATTGGACTGACGGGTCTTTGTCGAAGTCTCGAGTTTTTTGGACGTAGAGGGCGAAGGTCAGTCTATTGTCGATGGGTCGAACTGGTAAGTATCAAGAGCGGAGAAAATTGAACCAATTCTAAAAACCCTAGAGTGTGCCAGATTTTTAACCGAGATAGATCACGTGAAAGCGACATTCGACCCGTAAAAATAGCTCGTGCTTTTAAGTGGATCGGCTTTTGGGTCATCTTTGCTCCGACTACCCCTCCAATTGCTCAGAGCTAGGCCAGGCTGCAGATTGTGGATTCCACATACAATTGTCTTAGAGCAAATTCAGGTCAAGTATCATAATAATACAACAATTCCTCAAATTAGCCTCAACCTTTACAATCATGGCAGCTCCTATGGATCAGAGAGTCAATGTTCCCATAGATGACCCAAATGCAGATACAGAATGGAATGATATTTTACGAGCCAAGGGTATCATTCCCGAGAAACCTCCTTCCCCCACGCCCCTTATCGAAGAGGCTATTCTCGAGGGACGTCGTCTTGCGCATGAAAACCGACTTGAAGGAAAGGACCTCGACGAACTAGATGCTCTCGAAGATGAAGAAGATGATGCTTTCCTCGAACAATATAAAAAACAACGAATGGCAGAATTATCGTCTATATCGAAGAAAGCCAAACACGGCGCAGTATACCCTTTATCGAAGCCTGATTATCAGAGAGAGGTTACAGATGCAAGTCAAGACTCGCCAGTATTGGTCAATCTCACGAGTGGGTTGGGAACAAATGTGGAAAGTAGGGTCCTGACTGAGTTGTGGAGGAGAGCAGCTGTTGAGTTTGGGGAGGTAAAGTTCTGCGAGATGAGGGGTGATATGGCTATTGAAGGTTATCCCGACAGAAATTGCCCTACAATACTGGTGTACAACAAAGGAGATATTTTGAAACAAGTGGTCACATTAATGACCATGGGAGGTGTGCGAGTAGGAATGGCGGATATTGATAAGCTGTTGATTGAAATTGGAGCTATCAAGGATAATGACATGAGAGTTACGAAGCGGAGACGTGATGCAGAGGATGAAGAAGAAGAGCGTCAAGAGAAGGGTGGTATTCGAGGATCGAAACTGCCCAATGTTGAGAGTGATGATGACGAAGACTGGTAAAAGGAGATCTGGGATCGCATTGCATAGCATTTGGAGTTTTGGTGCAAATAGGAAGACAAAAGATCAGATCTTGTCCTTATTTACCGCAATTCACACGCGAATCCTTGTTTAAGGGTCCACAAATATGGTGGGCTAATTCTCCGAGTGCAGTAACATGTCTTTTTAATTGTCTAATTACTTCAGAGGGTGATTCTCCAAGTTAGGAATCATCGCATGCGTTGTGTTTCAGTGTTGAATATACTCGCAAGCTCGTCCAGTGCTGTTCTTCCAAGCTCCTTTTCAAGCACACCGGTCAATAACCAGCAACGAGGTTCGCATCTATACACGAATATGCTTTCTCGAATAGGTCAAAGTTCTTCACAGGCAATTGAAAGCTCGCCATCTCTCTTCGAACGGTTTCTGGGTCCCATATCCTCGATCTAGGAAGTATGCTTGAGAATTCGCAGATATATTGTCTCAAAGCCCGATGGAAGTCCCCTCAAAATACTTCCAGTAGGGGACCTGCAGTGGGCAAGTATTTTTAGGGACATGTCGGATTGAAAAGACAGCTAATTGGAGGTGAAATCTTCCAATCATTACTCAGTCTTCGCACTCTCAAAACTATGCTCTTAAATATCTCTTCTCTGGTTTTCAATTTTACTCACCCATTCTCCAGAGCTCTGGAGTAGACACTTCCGCAATGGCTTTCCTGTCTTACCCTCAGTATGTGCTCTGGTATGACATTCCCATCCTCGATAGTAGGTTGACTGATAATCGAGGTGTTTCTCACATGATCAATGCTCGGTCATGTTGGAGGCATGTTTCTGTCAGCGAATGATTTCCAGGAATTATCGAGTCGAGGATGTCTGGATTCGTCACATGCTGCTCCAATTTCCCTAAACCCAATTTCTCAGCCTACATAGGTAGTTACTTTTCTTTGCTTCAAAATAGCATCATCCCATTCCTCCGGAAACACTCCTCGAAATGATCCATCAAGCTGCTTCAACCACCGATACTCTACACCTTTATAGAGCTTTATTCCACCATGCTGATACCCAAACTCATTCTTCGAAACCGGCGTAATCCTCGCCGAATCAAAGGTTCGAATAACATTGAATGACTGATATTTGGTTCCAAGATTTTCGTTTTCAATTCCAACACATCCATTTTCGACTCGTGCAATGGCACTTTCGGGATTACAGTCTTGCGAAGAATAAAAGCAACCACTATATTATCGTCCGATGTCCCAGTATTCATGACGAATGCCGAACTGGCTATTTTGGAGAAGCGTGCCTGAAATCCTCGACTTGTTGATCCGCTCCATGAGCGCTGAGTTTCTTTACTGGCGCATCTGGACTCGTCATTAAACTGTATCCAATAAGCGGAGGTGGATGCAATGAGAGAAAGTAATATGGAAATATGAATTTGATACAACATGTTGGTTAACCTTACCAACCATAAAGAACAACGAAAGTATGAAAAACAACATATGGTTCTCCGTTCGGGTCTCTATTATGAAGAACGAACCTGCTTTAATAAGCTGTACTGCGCCATGCCAAGGTCAGCAAATGGGTGAGGTTTGTATTCAGCACTATTTCTCTCTTATGCGCGCGTGATTAATCTTCGTTATCACCTATATATTGAATGAGTAACGTGAAATCACGTTTCTGAAATACCGTGGGAGACACAACATAAGTCTGGCGTCAGCACCCCTTCCACTTGAAGAGATGGTACATTGTGAAAAAGTCATCAATTGCATAAGTGGTTTGATGATACGTTTCGCGGAACATGAAGTTCTTGAAGAAAATGAGATTTGAGAGTGGAGATGGCTGCAAGTTGGGGCTTGGCGCATGGCATCAAGGATGAAGCACTCCCGGTGAGCCATGTTTCAGAACATGTTACCCAACCATCTCATCAATTATTCTTCCCAAGAAAAGATAACTGGGTCTTTGAGTTAATAGCATGAGGGGTGGATACTCGATAACAAAGTCCACAGCCGACCTATAAACGATTCGTAGTCGGCAAAGTCGAAACCTCCTTTCTTTTCGCCAATCTTTTCTTTAATGGCTTCCACGCACCATAGTAGACTGAAACAGAGCCAAGCACAAGTACCAATAATGCCAGCACGACTATAATAAATCCTTTCATCTTGCTGTTGTTATGTTAGTATTAGATTGGATTGTGACTTTTGTTCAAGGGAGGGCATACTTGGACTTCATAACGCGATGCTAGATTGTTGGTATCGAGTATGCTTTAAATTACTTGAAGTGATTACAGAGGTAGATATTGTTGATGGGATTGGTTCGAGAAAGGTCTTAACGTCGTAATGAGCAGAGAGACTTGAGAAGACTTGTGGCGAACAATGTCTAGATGCCTTGATTCTGAACTCTGGCAACCGTGGAATCCGAGGTCTGCCATGGTGAGCTAGAAGAATAATGAGGAATTGTATGTTGATCTTCGAGCTCAATAATGTCGTTTAGATTGCCAGGAAAGCCGATGAGTATCGGTGAACACTGAAAGTTCTATGTGTGATTGATATGTGGTGTTTATGTAAAGTCCAGATTAGATCTTTAAGGCAACTTTAAGGAAGCTGGAGTCAAGTCTTGTTAATTTTCTGATGACTTCTTGTTGAGTCAAAGAATGTCTTTATTGGGAACAATTTCAGTCAAACTTGTGACTCGAGACTCAGCAGTATCGCTCAATTTCATTCACTCAAATTCAAACAAGATGGACAGCGACATGACAATTTGACAGTTCCGTTCGATATTTTGATCCTCGCTCATATGTATCTTGCAAAAGACCTGTTGTAGCACGAACAAATGCACAATAATTTCGTCTTGATAAGTTCAACGCTCTTGATATGCAGAAGTGCTCTTCAACTGCAGATAATTACACCCTTCTAGCTCTGGTACAAGAGTACAAAAGCGTAGTGATTACCAACTGCATCCATTCCACTCTCAATAATCTCTCTCAGAATACAAAACCACCCTGGTTTTTGTAATTGGCGATGACTAGCTCCAATGGAACAAGTGATTTGTGCTCAACAACGTCTAGCTTTACTGTTCTGTTACACTACGAAAGTCAGAAACAGAAAAGACATCCAGCTCTCTCAACATTCATCCCTCCCTCTCCCCACATTTTCATCTCCAACGCTCCAATCCTTCCTCCGCCCCCCAGTAGCACCAGCCCCTAAACCTTCCAATCATCAAAAACCCTACGAAGCAAAAGAAGGCGATGTATACACAATCCCCGGAACTTGCTCTCGAGCTCTCCGCACTTCTTCACCCTCTCGCTTCTTCTTAATCTGTCTCCAAACCCCAAACGCGCCGATACATAGGCCGATGACTGCAAGAGATGATAGAGCAACAATGGACACTGTACTCAAAGGCATTGTTGACTTATCGGTGATGTGATGGTTTGCTGGTTTGGAGGTTAGAAGAGTTATGAGGTTGAGAATATGTGATGGGTGCGATGGAGAGGGGGTGGTATACTTAGGATGTGATGTGTAATGTATGATTCTAGGGCAAGAGATAGAGATAGATGTGATTATGCTGTGAATTGAAGTTTGGATGTTTGGGAATGAATGGGAGGACGAATATCGTGGGTGCAGTGAAATGATGCGTAGTGACGTAAGACTTATGAAGATGAAGTTCTACGAGGGGTTTTTTTTGGAAGGTATCAGTCCTAGAGGCGGATTTAAAATTCGAATAATGATTAGATCTAATGTGATCACTGTTTGTCCTTGTAATATTTCAACAGAGGACATCACCTTAAGAAATCCAGTTACCATACATAGTAAACATATCCAATACTCTGAGTCTTATCCTGACCCGAATTCGAGTCAGTCATAGAAACTAATCTGAATGTAATACCATCCCAAGTAGTCACTCCAGTCACTTCGTCCACTTAACAGCAATCGGGAATCACACAGATTTTCAGTCCTTTGTATTCGAGACTCGAGTAGCAAGAGTTACATATCCATCTCCAAAACATAAACGTCAACGCATGCAAGTAGTCAAAATTTAACCACTCGCTAAAATCCTTCCTGTCCTTTCTATACTATCAACCCAAACCCCAAAGATATCAAGACAATGCCAACCCTCCTTTCGATCTATTGCTTCACTCATACCCTTTCATCCAGTGACTTCCTTCTCCCCCTTATCTAACACTACACCTAAGAAAACAACCCTACACCACCCCATCATCCATCCACAAGACTCAATAAAACCATCCCACTCCACCTCAAATCCCTATCAAAATCATGATGATCCCGCAGCCGCAAGCTTCTTCTTCCCAACTCAAGAAAACCATCCCACTCCACCTCAAATCCCTATCAAAATCATGATGATCCCGCAGCCGCAAGCTTCTTCTTCCCATGACTATGATACCAGATAGCCCCAATGACAACGACCAGTACCAATGCCGCTGATGCAATACCAACCATTATGTAATTCATTTTCGATATTGTGCTATCGTGCAGGTTAGATGTATTCGCAGTAGTCTGTGTGCAAGGGGGATGTATACCTGGAGTACGTTTGTGATGCGATGATTTTAATCCGAGATCAAGTCTGTAAGCGACGCGATATATGGGTGATTAGTGTGCTAGTGTGTTGTAATTGAGATCTTCTCACCTTGAAAGGCGAAGGGGTCAAGTGGTGGATATGGAGGTTTCTTAGTTGCAAGTAAAGGAGCAAAGGTACTAGTAACTTTAGATCTCGATCAAGAAATATGATTTGAGTTTTCAAGGATAATTATAGCTAAGATCTTTCCAGTTTTATTTCGAGGATGCTGTCAAGCTCCATAAACTATATACTGTTCGAATTCCTAGGCACTAGTCCTCTGACTCGAAGTGACTCGAGCGAGAATGTGATCAGTCATACAAATGACTATTGAATCGCCATATCTGAGTATCTGACCAGTCACCTCATTCGCTTCATTCACTTCATACACCGGGGCGTACGATGGAAAGATTCCTTCAGAGCTTATAGATGTGAGGTTGAGCTTGGGGATGTAGATATCAGAGAACTATCTCTTCTGATCTCTCCGAACCTCTGCCCTCAGAAGTTTCTCAAGATTATTTGATCATACCCCAATAGTAACAAAATGGTCTCATCCAGAAGGGATGGAATACACATCATTCTTTTCGACATGTAACACCCTTCTACAAAAACCTCAACACTGTGAATATCTCGCAGGCTCAAAACCCTGGATTCATAACTGAATCTCTTCGCATTCAACCCCGCTACTTCGAATTCCATTCGAGAAACATCACCACCAAAACCATCTAAGTCTAAGTCTCAATCCAACCTTTGACTTCAACCACTTGCCAAAACAAGCGACCTCCATACCCACGATATCCCCGTCTCCATTTTTTTTAAAAAAAACAAATCCCATACCCCATTGAATCCCTCTCCCTCTCCCTCTCCTCATTCATTTCTTCGAATCATACCTACTCCACAAAATAACAACCGCCCACCCAACAATCGACACTGCACAAACTGCAATGCCAATTATTGGTCCTACGCCCATTATCGATATATTGCTATCTATCTTGAGGTTAGAAGGGGTTTGAAATCGGAAATTCGAATTCTGAGAGATACGGGATGCGAGGTGAGGGGTGTGATGGATGATTTTCCTGATGTGTGATGGGGTTGTGTGATTAAGGTTGTGAGGTGAGATTGAAGATCAAGTAATAATATCCCCTCATAGGCTGTGAGTACCAAGTAAAACCCCGAATGCGTAATGCAAATTTCCAGAGTCTGGATTCTAAATAGATAGGTCGACGAAGAACAGGGAGGAGTAAGTACTTCCCGCTAACTGCAGGAATTTTCGTAATTGTGATTCCGTGCTGTGAATTAAAGATACTGAAACGGTGTCTTTTCAACCGACAGAGGGAAAGGATTCGTACAACGTGCGAAAGTCAGTTGTTGAATAAATCTGCGATGAGCTTTTGAGAATGTTAATGGTATCTATAAATGCATGGTGGATGTAGAGGCACTCACCCTTTAAGAGGGTGATTTGTTTGCGTAATGACTACTCACTACCCACTCCTCTGACTCCCCTTTGACTCCAAACGCCCAGTACAGCGAATGACACACACATTCATGGCTTCCCCTTCTCTGACTTCAAAAGTCAGTATAACAAATGATATACTCACGACTCTCGCTACCCTTCCGGAAATCATCACTGTCCCCAATATCACGCAACACAACACAACACCATGCCACCCCAACACCTCCTTCCCACAGCACCTTCTCCTCCTCCCTCTAAACTCTTCCTTTCACTCCTCTTCCTTTTACTCCTCTTCCTTTTGCTTCTCCTCCCCACAACTCCACACCCGAAAAAAGCCTCCCACCGTCTCATCCTGCGTTGTCATATCATATCAACTCACTTTACCTCGTCTCATCCCATCCCATCTCATGCTATCCTATCCAAAT